TTGCAAGGTCGAATTCGAGTCATGGTAGTGGGGGCGGGGAGGAAACATTTAGGAACTAGAGGAAAGTTGTATTTTTCATCATTGTTACATCGCACCCTGACTGGCTCATCTCCTCCCTGAGACCCCTTTGCAAGGGGATCTCCAGTGGCCTACTAATGGGCTTTTTTATAATTTTTAAAAAATCAGTCATTTTATTGGGAGCTCTTACAGACATTATAACAATCCATTATTTGGTTAGATCAAGCATCATTTTACAATTGCTACCACCATCAGTTTCAAAACATTTTCTTTCTTCTTGAATTCTTTCAAATCAGCTCCTCTTTATCTCCTTCTTCCCCACATTATCCCCAGAAACCCTTATTATTATATTATGTATTATTATTATTATTTGTCATATCTTACACCATCCAATGTATCTGTTCACCTGCAATTCTGATATTCGTTCCCCCTTAAATAGGGTTATGTAATCATGCTTATCAGCTGCCCCTTCCCTCCCTTCCCCTCACCCCTCCTGTCTTCCTGTACCCTCAGGGAATCATTACTCTGGTTACTGTTTCTGAAGGTTTATCTATTTTGGTATAAAGTTCTTTCTTATACATATCTGAGTGTCACTAGATTTGTTTCTATAGTCAACCCAGCCTAATACAGACTGTGGCTCCAAGTGCTTTAATTTCAAAATACCAATTTATTATATCTTAGAGAATTATAGTATATTTGTGATTAAATATTAAAATTACCAGGACCCTAGACTTATTATAAGCTCTCCTATAGCACTTTGCAGTCACAAACAGACCTCCAATGACTTCAGAACAAATCAAATTTACTCCAAATCTAAATGATTTGATCATAGTAGCCTTGTTCATTATACCAAAATAAAACAGATCATCAGATATTAAAAAAAAAAAAAAGTGTGTCTATAGGAAAGGAGGGACCATTTGTCATTTCATGAGGCTAGTAATTACTGTGGCACCCAAACACAAAAGACACAACAAGAAATGGGATTAGTATCCCGTTTATGGGGGAATTTAAAAAGTTCTTAGGAAAATGGAATTCAACGATAATGGAATTTTTCCATGAATTTTTTTGAAGCTCCTCATAAATATGGATGCAAAAATTCAACAAATTATTAGCAAACTGAATCCAAGAACATATACCCATGACAAAGTGGAATTTATCCCAGGAATGTATGGTTGGTTTAATATTTGAAAATCAATTAATGTAAGATACCTGGTGCACAATAACTCCTATGATCATAATAGACACAGAAAAAGCATTTGACCAAATCCATAACCTTATCATGATACAGTTTTCAACAAACTAGAAGTAGCTACAAAGGACCCCAAATAGCATTAGAGTTCATTGTAAAAGACTTAGCGCTTCTCCGCTCAGATCAGGAGCAGGACGGAGATGGCTGCTCTCACCATGTCTGTTTAACTTTGTCCAGGCACATCTAGCTAAGGCAATCAGGCAAGA